GGAATAATGAGGGCAACAAATGTATAGATGTGCTTTACACAATTGATCTATGTATTGTGATGAATTGTATGAGCCCCAATAAATTGATTTTTTTTAAAATCTTCTGAAAAACTTGGCTTATACACGAGTATGTACGGTAAGTAAATTTGAGCAGTTGTTGCAATACAGATTTCTCTGAAAATCTCTAGCAGTTGGAATTTCCCCCAATAATTTGTAGTAGCCTTTTGCCTTCATCTCTATTAGCAAAAGAGTATGAAGTTTTATCATCACTAATTTAGCATATTCATCTCTTTTTGACATTCTAAACATATTTTCTTATATCTCTTGGTTAATTGTTGTTATGTTTGAGCTAATTGTTCAAGAATTTCTTGAAGGTGTTCCTCTTTTTTGCTGACCTGTCTTACCAAGCATGGTGTTCTTTTCCAGGGAATGGTCTCTCTTGACAACTGGGCAGGGTTTTGTTTTGTTGTACAGAAGGTATTTATGGGGCTTCTCCCATTCCGCTGGTCTGTGTCCTCACACGCAGGACATGGCTCATGAGGAACTCAAGATGGGTGGGCTGCTGGCCCCCGTACCACGCTGCCCACCTCCCACAGTCTACCATGATCAACATCCAGATTGAGCCTGTCACCTCCACGCAGTCCACGGTGATCAACATCCAGAGTGAATCCCACATGTCCGACCACTTCATCAGGTCCCTCTTCAACATGGCCTTCCTCCACTGCTGCTGCCTGGGCTTCGTGGCCTGTGCCTACTCCGTGAAGTCTAGGGACGGGAAGGTGGTGAAGATTGTGGGAGACATGATTGGGGCCCAGAGCCATGCATCCACCGCCAAGTACCTGAACATCTTCGCTATGGCCCAAGGCCTCCTGGGAATCCTCATTTCCATCATTCTTGTCACCACGGGCACAGTGATGAGCTTTCAAGCCCTGTTACAGATGATGGGCCAGCAATGGCACTAGCCACTGCACCATGCTGTGTCCTGAACCGTATGGCCCTACCCTGCTGGACGACTTGACCCCTGGCCTGCCTGCCTGCCCCCGCTCCTGTCCACAGCCATTTGCGCATGTATCTCCATCTATCAGTAAGCTCAATAAAGCGCCCCGTGTGTAAAAAAAGAAAAAAAAATGTCTATCTGGGTTGGAATCAACTCAACAACAATGAACAGCAGCAACACTGATCATTTGGATTTACTGTCTTTAAACTGTCTAGCATATCATTAGTCATTTTGCAACAGGGTCGTTTTTAGGTTTTGGTTTCTTTTCTTTTACAAATTTGTTTAAAAGCTTCCTATGCTGTGTTATAAATCCTAAATCTCTCTCTTTTTTCCAGAATTATAAGAATGTTTTTCAAACCTACCTATTTGAAAAAGAATCTGAAATAAACCTCAATATTACAGCATAAGAAAATAAATTCTCCCAAGGTCAAACACAATAATATAAGTAAATTTTTACATTTTACAAAAATATCTGGGCTGAGGAAGATCTTAATAACTAGACATAAAAATTCAAAATTCACAATAGAAGAGAGAATAAATAAGAAGGAATAAGATGGCTTTGAAAAGGTCATTGAGGGGAACCGATCACAAGGATCTACATTTAACCTCCTCCCTGGGGGACAGAAAACAGAAAAGTGGGTGAAGGGAGACATCAGACAGTGTAAGACATGAAAAAATAATAATAATTTATAAATTATCAAGGGTTCGTAAGGGAGGGTTGATAGGGAGGGGGGAAATGAGGAGCTGATACAAAAGGCTCAAGTAGAAAGCAAATGTTTTGAGAATGATAAAGGCAACAAATGTACAAATATGCTTGACACAATCAGTGTATATATGGAATGTGATAAGAGTTTTACGAGTCCCCAATGAAATGATTTTTAAAAGAAAAAAATGAGCCATAAAAAAAGAAAAGTCATTGAATAGCTTACAAAAGAAAATGAATAACAATAGCACAAAATTTCTTCGATAGTGAATTTTGTTTCTACTGTAATTTTTTTTTGTCTCAGAAAAATTGTTGAGGATGAAATCCCTAGAGGAAGGGTTTTGCTGAGCAAACCAATGATGAAACATCACTTCATAGAAATATCTTCCTTCTTTCTTCCCCTGAGTATGCAGTTAACTACTATAAACTATGGGAGAGGGTTTTGCAATTTAGTGTTGAGACTCCTGCTGCAGAACAAAATGAACACCCATATTAATAGAGACCGTGCACTATAGTTCTCATCCCTCTTGCAAAGCTGATTGGAAAAACAACATCTTTTAAAATTGTAGTTGATTCTTTGATGCAAAGCAATGTGGTAGGAGAGCAACATGTTCTGGTCACCTTCATTCTTATTCTCCAGCTAACTCGGAATGGAAACTATATGACCTGCTTTATTTATACTGAGTGGAATCCAAAGAAGTTTAATGAATTTTGTCAAATTGACTGTACAATTCAACAGCATATAAGGATGTCATTATATATGTGTGCTTTAAATTAGCTCTATTTCAACCCAAGGCTTTTTGGACATAACACTAAATTATCTCTACTACTTAAAATGAGGGTAAGTAAACTTGAGAAAATTACTGAATAATAATGTATTAATATTTGAATGAATTAAGTACCCATCTGATGAACTGTTCATAAGTCAAATGTCAAGAAGAGACCTAATTATCAGCTAGGAAAAAAGTCTAAGTCCTAAACTTCTGTTTCTTCATATTTTTAATATACAATGCTATTTTGAATACACTGTCATCTCTGTAAGAAATATGAACTTTAAAGCAGGTAAGTCTTACATTCTAATTTCAGTCTGTTACCGACTAGCTCTAGGACCTTGGGAAAGTTATTTAAACTCTCTAAGGATATAAATTCAGATTTCTGCCTGCCAAATTAATCTTTCATAACCTGGACATTGTTTTGGACAGCCTTCCTTGAATGAGGAAGTTGGCTAAATTCAAGGAAAAATGAAATTTAAAAATAATGAAATTTTACAGTGAACTTTTTGTAACCCTCTTAAACTGCTGAGCCAAGCTACACTGTATCAGCTGAATGGAAAAATTGACTGCTATCACTTTTCCTTATAGTGTAGACTGAAGCTAGAAGTTCTGTTTGGTATTTGGAAGCTTTCCATACATTCATTAGGATATGAGATAATTTGAGAAAACATAAAAGTGCAAAAAAGTAAGAAGTTTATCTTGAAAAGAAAATAGAAAACCCATAATGTATACCTAGAATAGACAGCTGTATAGAGATAGAAATGTATTAGTAGTTACTACAAAATTGACAAGTAGTTTCCAGTGGTAAGTGGAAGGCAAGCTAAAAGGAAGACACACTTCTGAAGGAACACTGTTCAGTGATAGAAAAAATCAGAAGGGGTAATGGTTGGTCCACCTGACGAGTGTATAATTAATGACATTGAATTATATATGTGAAGAGTGAAGAAGTGAAAAATATTTTGTTGTGTATACATTTACCCAATAAAAAAGACAGAAAATCCACAATGTTACAGAAGATAAAACTCACACCCAAAGCTGCCAACTAACTTGTTCAACCAAACATGATCTTCCTGGCAGTCTTAAAACTAAAACTCTGTGACCTCGCTGGTCTTGATGTTCCTTCATATATTACAGTTTAGAAAGAAGCTCCAAGGTTTTGTTGAAGCTCCTCTTTTTGAACATTCAAGTTCAGATATGAAGTGAGAAAATCTAATAGAGAGGCGACAGACGTAAGTTCGACCAATACAGAAGTTAAAAAGGACATATTCTAAATCATGAGTTAAAAATGTTCTACAGCAATCAAAAATAAGATTTGTAGAATCCCATCGGCAGCTTTCTGAAATTCCTTCCTTCCATTAGCTTCTTTGGTAATCCAGTCGCTGTCCTTTGATTCCTGGTTTCTTGGGTGTCTCACATATGTAATTCAAACTGGTTTTTGCCCGCTGCTAAAAATGAGGACAACTTTACCCCAAAATACTGGCCAAAGCAGAGGAATTATGCCATGGCCTTAGAAGTATTTGCCACATTTGCACACAAAAGGCACAGGTATTAATTTACATGAAATAATTAGTCTGTTTGTTTGTTTGCTCTTGTGCTAGCTCATGTACCCAAAAAAGCCTGGGAGTGAGTTTCAATTTTACGTTTCTTCCTTTTATAACCTCTCAGAACAATGTTTAGATTTGATGGGTAAAGAATTGGAGGGTTCTTCAACGCTGCACCCCTTCTTTTTCTTTTCTTTTTTTAAAAAAAAAATTTATTTATTTTCCTCATTTTATTTGTGGAGTATAATGCATACAAAGAAAATATACTAAGTATAGTTATACATACATATATATAGTTCATCCCATTACATCAGAACAGTGACAATGTCCCAGTAAGCCCCATTTATGTGGCTCTTTGTTTTTGTTAAATTATTAACAAACATGTTAATTCAAATAATATTTAAACATTCAGATGACCCAAATACAACCATGAATTTGAAGGCATGCTTTAAAAAACGGATACATATTTGAGGCTACTGTATGTTTGGCTGATGAGCAAATGCCCAAGAAAGTGAAAAAAAAAAAAGCAGAAACTGAGAAGTCGGTGTGCTCTGAAAGCTTCTAAATGTCCTTTCTTCCCCGTCCTTCTCCTTCTGCTCTCAGCTGTCCTGCTGGAGCCGCGCTTCTCCACCTTCCTAGGGCTGCGACCCTTTCACACACTTCCTCATGTGGTGGTGAGCCCCCAACCATAAAATTATTTTTCGATGCTACGTCATAACTGTCATTTTGCTACTGTTATGAATCAGGTGACCCCTGTGAAAGGGTCATTCGACCCCCAGGTTGAGAACCGCTGTGCTAACGTGGTCAACATTCTTTTTCCCCTGCCTGGCCCTCACTGACCGTAGAACTTGAGAGGACATCATATGCTTGTATGACAGGATACAGTAATACAATTTATATTGCATTGATGAAAAGGGCAGTTTATGAATACCAATTTTCAGAATGAGGAGTTTATCTGATCGTAAAGCAGTTAACAGACTCCTTCCTTCTTTTACAACTTCCCAAAGGAGAGCCTCCAAGTTCTAGAGGAGAAATGCCCATTCCCGGGGAAAATGCAAGCAGGCTTTTCAATCATAAGATGCCTCATGAACAGTAATATGATGGTCATTTGAATTTTTTAAAGAAGTTTTTATATCATTTTATTAGGAGCTCATATAACTCCTATCACAATGCATATATACATCAATTGTGTAAAGCACATTTGTAATGGTCATTTGAATTTTAATATTACAGTTATGGTGAATTTATGCCTTATCATCCAAACAAAAACATGCTCACATAACTCCATCCTTTAGAAATTCCCCTTCCAGGGCCTTCTTTCAAATAAATTTTAATGGTGCAGAGAGTTTAGAGTATTAAATTTCTTATAAAGATTTGCATCCTTTGGGAGGTCAGTCTTAAGGTACAGTAAAGCTAGTTTGAGAGGAAAATACAGAAAGTGAATTGGGGTGTGTGTGAAAGAGAAAGAGAGAGAGACCGTCCCATGCAGCCAACAGAGTAGAACTGCCCTTTTATGTTTCCAAGGCTGTAAATCTTTGAAGGAGCAGAGAGCTCCATCTTCCTTCCACGGAGTCCCTGGTGGGGGCCCAGCTGCTGACGTCAGCACCTCGGCGCAGACACAGTAGCCACCAGGGCGTCTCCAAAATGGGAAGTTTTACTTTACAGAGAAAGTAAAACACAATTTACTTATAATGTTTTGAGTCTAGTTTTTTCAGTAAGAGGGCATTAATTTTATAATAATCTTTAAAAACAACCCACCAACTTTCTACATTTTTTGTCTCAGACCAGGAGCCCTGGTAGTGTGGTGGTTAAGTGCTCAGTCAGCAGTTTTGACCCACCAGCAGCTTCACAGGAGAAACAGGCAGTGGGCTGGTTTCCTTAATGACAACTCTGTCCTAAGGGACCACTGGGAGTGATAATGAGCTTGATGGCACTGGCATGCTCACGTGCACACACACTGTCCTTGAGGGTGGCCATAAGTCAGAATTAATTCAATAGCATTGAGTTTTGAGTTTTATTCCCATTTTCCATGAGTCCAACTTTCTTCTATATCTTCCAAGATACCTTTTTATTTATATGCAATCATTTATATAAATATATGTAAAATAGCATGCTATGATATGACACCATCTTTATTTAAATGATGGGATCATGCTATACAAATGGTTAGCAACTTTCTTTTTTAACTTAAAGATGCATTTGAACATCATTTCATATCCATGACTATATACCTCAAAATTCATATCAGTTGAGAGTAAGGGGACATTTTAAGGGAATCAACAGCTCTAGGAAAAAAATAGAAGGAAGGGAGGGGGGAAATGAGGAGCTGATGCCAGGTGCTTAGGTGGAGAACAAATGTTTTGAGAATGATGAGGGTAATAAATGTACAAATGTGATTTACACAATTGATGTATGCATGGATTGTGATGAGTTGTATGAGCCCCTAATAAAACAATTAAAAAAATAAAAATAATACAAGATTAGAATATACATAGTTAGCATTTGGATGAACATAAAGAGAAATTCTCAATATAGAGAAAAATGCAATAAAGAGAAATTTGCTTTCCGATATTGATCAAGTAATTTACACGTATATTATCATGCTAAGAATTCATCAGAATGGGTGCATTTGTAGCTGATGGAACTGACTTGTATTTGTATTTCCAGAAAATTTAGGACTCTGAACAACCTCTTTCCAAAGCGTCTCAGAGTTCCGGCATCACTGTGATGCTTCTACTGCATGGCTGTGTTCCTCTGGGTCTGGCAAGATGCCAGACAATTGCAATAAGACGCACAAGCACCCTTCATATAGGATAGTCACTATTGTGATATTGTGATCCCTATTGCTGACGTTGATGGGTCAGAGATTATGGAGGGAATGGAAAGGATTGAAATTTGCTAAGTCAATTTCCATCAGTTGTTCTTAGCTGTCATTGGGTCATCCCCAACTCGTGGAGACTCTGTGCACAACAGAACAAAAGCTGCCCAGTCCTGAGCCATCCCCATGATTGGTTTGGGATCAGATCATTTTTCAGAAGTAGATCACTAGGCCTTCCTTCCAAGTTCTGCTTCGTCTGGAAGCTCTGCTGAAACTCGGCATTATAACAATATGTGAGCCTCCTCTAAGAGTCTGGTGGTGACTGTGCATGAAGTGAATTGCCCAAGAATAGAAGCTGGGTCTCCCAAACAAAAGGTGAGAATTCTACCACTAAACCACCCTCAAGCCCCTTTCCTTTCATTTGATAGCCTTATGAAAACGAAAATGCTAAAAATCCCAAGTAATTCTTCTCTGAGCCCCCCTCAGAGCTCTTGTATCACTATTGCCCACTATTGTCTTGTAACCTTGTTGTCCAAACTGCTCTATTTCAACAGGACAAAGCATGGGCTGTGTGCATTTAGTAAATCACTTACACTTCACATCAAGGCAATTTAAAAAGTATTATCATCTTCATTTTTGAAATGAGGAGCCCAAAGATCAGAAGATCCCCAGGACAATTTGGAAAGGTAGGATTATGAATCCCAATATATCAGACTACATATTTTATTGAATAATCCTACACTATTTTAAAGAGCCCTGATGGCACAATGCGTTGTGTTGAGTTTTGAACTGCAAGGTCAATGGTTCATGGGAGAAAGATGAGGCTACCTGTTCCTGTAAACGTTTACAGTCAAAGAGACTCTAAGGAGAGGTTTGACTGTGCCCTGCAGGATCATTATGAGTAGAATTGGGCCACTATGAGTTGGTATTGACTCCACAGTAGTTGGTTGGGTTTTATACAACTTCTAAGACCTTCTTAGAACACATATCCTTCAAATGAGCCTGATAACCTGTTAGATCAATTGGGTTTTTCTTCTCTTTTTTTCCCTAGTAGGAAAGTATCCAGGTGGTAAGGCATGAGAACAATACATTTACACAACAAAGAAAGATTATTGGATAAATTCTGTGAATGTTGAAACCAATGGCATACTTTAACATTTTTGAAATTTACTTTTGCTACTATACTGTTACAAATACAGAAACTCACTTGAAGTATAAAGAAATGCATTTTACAAAACTTTTTTCACATTAATAATAGTCTATACATTTATGAAAATTAATAAAATGATTATAACTAACTGAAATAGTCATTGACTATTCCTTTATTTAACTGCTGGATTTTTCTATTTCAGGGAGCCAAGAGTTGAACCAGTTAACATGAATAAGGTAAATGAGAGCGTCCCCAGGGAGTTCATCCTGTTAGGCTTCTCAGACAGACCATGGCTGGAGCTCCCACTCTTTGTGGTGTTCCTGGTTTCCTATATCTTGACTATCTTTGGAAATCTGGCAATAATCCTTCTGTCACGTCTGGATTCCAAACTCCATACCCCCATGTATTTCTTTCTCACCAACCTTTCTCTCCTGGATCTTTGCTACACCACCAGCACCGTTCCACAAATGCTGGTAAACATATGCAGCATCAGGAAGGTCATCAGTTATGGGGGCTGTGTGGCTCAGCTCTTCATTTTCCTGGCCCTGGGTTCCACTGAGTGTCTTCTCCTAGCTGTCATGTCCTTTGATAGGTTTGTGGCTATATGTCGGCCTCTCCATTACTCAGTTATCATGCACCAGAGGCTCTGCCTCCAGTTAGCAGCTGCGTCCTGGATTAGTGGCTTTAGCAACTCGGTGTTGCAGTCCAGCTTGACCCTTCAGATGCCACTGTGTGGCCACAAAGAAGTGGACCATTTCTTCTGTGAAGTCCCTGCTCTGCTCAAGTTGTCCTGTGTTGACACAACCGCAAATGAGGCTGAGCTATTCTTCATCAGTGTGCTGTTCCTTCTAATACCCCTGACTCTCATCCTTATATCATATGGCTTCATTGCCCAAGCAGTGTTGAGAATACAGTCAGCTGAAGGTCGGCGAAAGGCGTTTGGGACATGTGGCTCCCACCTGATTGTGGTGTCACTCTTCTATGGCACTGCCATCTATATGTACCTGCAACCACCATCTCCTGCCTCCAAGGACCGGGGCAAGATGGTGTCCCTTTTCTATGGGATCATCACCCCCATGTTGAACCCCCTCATATACACACTTAGAAACAAAGATGTTAAGGGAGCTTTTAAGAGATTGCTTGCCAGGGTTTTATTGATCAAGAAATAATAAATGTCCTAGACCTTGCTACAGACTTGAAATTTAATAAGCTAAATAATTTTTTAAATTTTCCCTAGTTGCTCTATTTTTGCTACTCTTAGAACTGTTATAATGATCATCCTCAAAATTTCATTGACACACACCATTTTTTCCTCCTGTCTAAATACAGTCAGTGCACAAGTTCCCCCCACCCCAAACTGGTCTTTTGAGATGCCCCACCCAAGATTGCTGATTTTGTGTATGATTCCCATATGAGAATGAGTTCAGATCACAAACAATACTGATCTCAGATATAATGCACTTGAACAAAGCCCATGTCTCTATAGAAAAGGAGAGGCTCACCAGCCTGCCCGCCCCCTTTGAGGTGGCAGAAGCAATTGCAGGGCTGTATTCTGCAAGGTCAGCACTACCAAGAGTTCTGTGAGAGAAATAGGAGGCTATGAAGTCTTCTCCAACACTTCTTACAGCAGTATGTCCCCTAGGGGCATTGGAATGATCGGGGGAGGGGGGGGCTGGAAAAGCACATACCTACACTCTAGCCTGGATTAAGGGCTGGGGTACAAAAGTTATTCATTGCCAGGGGGCGCTGAGCAACTTTTTTTTTCCTGGAAAGGGGCGCAGTAGGCCAATAAGTTTGAGATCCTATGATTTATATTGTCAGAAATCCACAGGGTCAGTTCTACTCTGTCCTGTAGGGTTGGTACTCCAGTGAGTTTTCTTTTTCTTTCTTTCTTTTCTTTATTTTGCTTTGTTTACTAATGGAAAGGTAGTAACTGCTACCAACAAAAATAATCCATGTCTTAAATACAACCTTGGAGGTGTAGGGGTTATGTATTGGACTGCCATCTGCATGGTCTGTAGGCAGTTCGAAACCACCAGCAGCTCCTCAGGAGAAGGATTGGACTTTCTACTCTGGTAAACAGTTACCGTTTCAGAAACCCTCAGGGGTTCATAATGAGTCAGCAATGACTCAATGGCAGTGAGGTTCTTTTTGATTTTTGTTGTTGTTGTTGTTTTTATAAGCATGTAATGGATTCTCAGATGGTGGGACATTCCACCCTCCCTTCACAACAGTTTTACCCTTCTTTACACATTTCAACATTCCTTATTAATAAATGCTTCCAGTTTTGGTAGCAACTGCTAGTGACACATCACCAACAATTCATTAATGAGTTAAATAAAATCTTTTAAAGATGGATCTGTTATTTTCTTTATATGAGAGCCATAGTTTTCTTTTCCACAACCCTGAGACCAAAAGAAATAGTGCTCAGCTGTCACTACCAACAGCTTTGAAAGTGATCACATTACAATGTTCTTAATAGAGTGGAATTAAAATGTGGAATAGAACTCAAAATTTTAAGAAACCAGGTTTTCTGGTTGGACAGAGACTGCTGGAATCCCCAAGTCTATGTCCCTTAGTCACCCTTCAGGTCTAGAATCTCACCTGCATGTTAAAAGCATCAATTATTTAGGATCAAAAGGGCAGCACTTACCTAAAAGCAAAACTCAGAGGGTTAGGAAGGAAGAAGGAGTCAAGCAGGAATCACAGAGAGGACCAGGGATAAATGATGAGACATTAAGGGAATTGCAATGGATGAGTTGAAATAAAATGAGTATGAATTGTTGAATGTGTTTAAGAGTACAAAAGAGACCTTGAATCTCAATTATAATTTAAGGAGAACATTTATTAAGTCTTAAACAGAAAAAGACATATTGAGAGCGGCTATACCAGGAGGGGAATGGGAAGGAGAGGGGAGAAAGGGGGAACCAATCACAATGATCTACATATAACTCCCTCCCAAGGGGACAGACAACAGAAAAATAGGTGGAGGGAGACATCGGTCAGTGTAAGACATGAAAAAATAATAATAACCTATAAATGATCAAGGGTTCATTAGGGAGGGGGAAAAATAGGAGCTGATACCAAGGGCTCAAGTAGAAAGAAAATGTTTTGAAAATGATGACAATCAATGTACAAATGTGCTTGACACAATTGAGGTATATAAATGGATTGTGCTAAGAGTTGTATGAACCCCCCAATAAAATGGTAATAAATAAATAAATAAATAAATAAATAGACATCAAAGAAAAAGACAAGATCTAGATGAGGGAGATGACTAGCAAGATGTTACAACAGGTGACCAAGGGTTTACAAAGATTTAGAGAATTCAAATGGATATGGAAAGGCAAAGGAAAATGCCACAAAAGCATGATTGGTGCAGGTCAATACATTATAGCTACAGGTTGGGCCACAGAAACAGGAACAGGGCCTTGATTGGGACATTTTATTGGACAGAAAAGCTTACAAGATTGGTCCAGTGCCTTCAGAACAAAGCATCAAGGCATGACTCAAGACTGTGTGATCCTAGTACGGTGGCATCCTTTCAGGACACACCACGCAGGCCTAGGGGAGACTGCCCTTCCAAGGCTGGCTGGGACTAGGCTAATCTAGTCTCTAAGGCACTTTGCCCGACCTTTAACACATCCCAGGTTAAAAGTCATAAGGAATTCAATGGAAGCTTAATCCTCTTGGGCATTCTACAAATGAATTTGGGGCTTTCAATGTTATCTGTAGCCTTCTGCACACCCAGGGCTCAGAATTTAAACTCTACTACAAATGTAAAACTGGTGGTCTACTCTGTAAATCTTCACCTAATTCACAATAAAAAGTCAATTGTTTTGTTTTGTTTTAATTTTTTATTTAACGGGAAGGTCTCTTGGTGGCACCAAAAGATTAGAAGTTTAAACTCACCCACCTAAGAACATTCTGTACAATTTAACAAGTCTAATAGTTAAATGTTTATATTAATAACACATCCCCTTATTTAGGAGCTTACAGTTTCCTGTTTTGATTTGCCCTAATTTCCCCTCCCCCCCGTTGTTGTCCAACAGACCAGGCAGTTCTCACAACTGGATAAAGTCAATTAAAAACATCAAGTACACTTTTGCTTCTAAAATGAGAGCACAAGAACATTTTATTTCCCATCGAAGAGTGACTTGGGAAACTCTAAATATAGCTCATATATAGATACTATCATAGTGCTTTTATTATTCTGTGTTTGGGGATTTGATTTAGAAACACTAATATTTTAAGTATTCACTTACATCAGGACATGAATATAAGTCATAAAGATAAGTGATTAAAATATTAGCTATAAAAATAGCATTAAAAATCCACAGAATACTTAGCTGGTGATTTCTTTCCTTTTTTCTTCCTTTCTTATTTTTTGAAAATGAGAATCTTTTGTAAAAGATTGAACAAGATATAAATGCAAAGCTGAATATACCTTTATACCTCAGAGATACTGTGCATTCACTTACAGACCACTACAATAAAGTGAACATCACAATACCGACAGTCACATGGATTCTTTTGGTTCTCAGCATATAAAAGTTACGGAGTCTCTTAGGGTCACTGTTACAATCAACCTGGTGTCATTGGGTTTGGATGGGCAGTCTATCAGGTTGCCGATAGTGCTGCATGATGACAAAGTTTGAAATATTTTGAGACACATCAAAGATTACACGGAGACAAAGTGAGCACATGATTGTGTTAGTCTGGATAGACTAGAGAAATAAATTCATAAACACGTACATGTTTGGGCCAGGTCTGAACTAGGCAGCCCCTGTTTGGACTAAGCTGAAGCAGGTCCGGACCCTGCACATCCCAAAGGTCCGCAGCAGACAGCACCAGATAAGATAACCAGTGAAACCAGATGTTCTGGGTTCAAAGAAAGCCACGAGGAGTCGACAAGCAATTCTCAGAGTTTCCAGACCCCATATGCTGATTGCCATAATTGCCATACATTCCTCACCACCCCTTTAAAAACCCTCGCCCCCAGCTGCTGAGCACGACTTCCCTGAACTGTTGGCCTAGGTCACGGAACCACCTCGTCCGGGAGCTCCCCCACCTAATTAAGCTCTTTCTGTTTCTGCTGTCCTTTGTCCTGTCAGTTATGTCTGTCTTCCTCTCTGTTCCTGAGTTCTGCTTTACAGTATATGTGTATAAAGAAGAGTTTTATATATAACAGCAACCGTACATTAAGAAAGCATCCCAACCCAGTCCGGTCCAAGCCCATAAGTCCGATATTAGCCCATTTGTCTGATACCTATCTATAAAGTCCTCTTCAGACTCACGAAACAGAGCTCACAGAAAAGCTGGACACTACCTTGCTGACCCCAATTTGTCTTGTTAACCAGAAGATACTCAGTACTCAAGGAACAGCGCATGTGCAAGATGACACATCAAGCCATTTTGGAACCCATTAGTGTGCACACTCCGTGTCAATCCCCAACCCTAAAGGGTCTTTCCTAGAAATATCATTAGGAGCTTGTTCCCTTTGAAAAGTATCTTGTAACTCATTCCCACTCTAAACTACTGTCCATCATCATTACACCAGCTACTAGCAAAACGTCTCCTTTGAAAATAGCCCACATTAAAAAAAAATAAAAATAAAATAGCCCATATTAAGTGCTGATTGCTGAGGAACTTCTTCAGGACCAGGATACCACATCATTTCACCCTTCTAAAAAAGACTAAGGAAAAAGAAATAAACAACTTAATTCATTAATTAAAAAGCATTGGGGAAAAATTAATTAAAAAGTACTAATGATCCAGAGTTTGTGATTATGTAGGTGAAAACTATTGACATTTACCATATTAGAAGTTAAAACCAACTGAAGTGAAAGATTTATCGTAATGCTTTTTAAAATAGCAAGATTGCATCACGTAGTCATGATAATAACCTTTTATTTGTAAAAGCTGTGTTTTCCAACGTGTACTAGTAAAAAGAGCTATTTACCTTGCTGCAAAGCTCTTTACTGTCTGGTTCCTTACAAGACCATTAGATTCTTCCAGTAGTTTCTGCATTCATTTTAATATGTTGCGCTCTAACTATCTTTCCATAACGTCAGTACCATAGACCCACTGAAAGGATCTCAGAGAATCCCGGAGGTTCCCAGACCACAACATGAAAAACATTACCCTAAAGCCTTAGAGGCAACAAAAT